GTGTGTGGTGTGTGTGTGTGTGTGTGTGTGTGTGTGTGTGTGTGCGTGCGTGTGTGTGTGTGTGTGTGCTGTTGTGTAACCCGAATATCTTAACAAGGTGATCAACATCGCTGACAATAAAGTATTTTCCGCATGGCTTGCTTCGCAACCTTTGACACTTGACCTCTCACCCGCCTACAGAGATCTACTAACCCGTGTTTAACACAGCCCTGCAGCTATTGTCGTACAGATCTCTACCTACAAATGCTACCGACCCCGAGAACCAATTCAGACATTATAAGATCAACCGCTTCGCTTCTCTCCCCTTCCCCCTTAGCAACCAGCCCAGGCTTCACAGCGTCGCTAGCAACGAAGAAAGTGGCGGTGCGTTTAGGTGCGTGTGTTGTAGGTAGACTTCAAGGGTTGAATAGAGAGGAAATTTATATACAACGATACGGTGCGTAGTGTTGATAAAAGATTAATCCCCCTTGGTGTTTTTAATCCTGGGGTGAAAGCGACTAGGCACTTTGATCCAGTGTGCGTGTGTGCCAGTGTGTCTGCTGGTGTGTGTGTAATAGTCCAGGGAGATTTGGCGATCAAGAAGTTTTAGATAGTTGTAGTTAGTGTCTCGCCATTTGTAAGAGATTCGTAGACTCCGGGACGACAGTATAAGGTACGTTTGGATATTTCTATTTTATAATATCTACGTTCGTTGTGTGTCTATCAACCTGTTTAAAACCAGCGTATGTGGTGTAGTAATTTAAGTGTTTTACCGTCGCAGGCAGAAAGAGTAAGTTCGATTTTCAAGTGGGAAGTGTTTTTGACCAAGTATATATCCGTCTGTCTGCCGGAACGTTGTATCCCTCTTAGCCCGGTAGACAGGGTAGAAGCAGCCAGGGTCTCAAATGATCTAAGTTGTGCCGATCTGGGTCTGAAACACCTACAATAACAATTGCAGTCTGTTTTGTTTTGTTTTGGGTTTTTGGGGGGGTTTTGTACAGGAAAAAAAAGTTTATATATTATGAACTCTGTACGGGAAAAACAACAATTATAACAGTTCTGCATTGTCATCCTTGTCTACCTTGATCAATTGAGCTGCTTGTACAATGTAGTCCTTCCAAACGTTTACCAAAAAAAATGGCGGTAGTCACATACTTGTCATCACACTTACAGCACTCGTATATGGAAAGAATTACAATGGTGATACTTTGAAAGTAATACATTGAAAGAAGGACACACGCCAGTTTACAATTTATATTTCAGTAATGAGAGCCTTTAGTTACCTATTCTTGAAATACTTTATGTGTATTCTTAAAGGTAAATGTTACCTCCTCGTTTTCCTTCAGAAAAGGAAAGAAAGAAAATAAGAAAGAAAGGAGAAAGAAAGAAAGAAAGAAAGAAAGAAAGAAAGAAAGAGAGAGAAAGAAAGAGAAAGAAAGAAAGAAAGAAAGAAAGAAAAAAAAACAGTTTCCAATATCGTGATTTAAGTTATACAATCTTATATTATCTTTTAGAATCAAAAGGTCGAGTTCTTGTCAAGTTTCTTTTAGTCTTGTAAAAGAAACGAGTAAATGAAATGAAAAGGTTTTTTGATATTGTATGATTTTTCAATGCTGTGTCTTCGTTGATATTTGCAAATGTGTGCTGTGCAATATATGCGTCTGTATGTGTGAAACATAATTTGTAGGGGGAGGGGGGTTAAGGATTGAGTAAAGATTAGTAAAGGGGCTTTCTCGTGGGACCGCAAATGGGGAGTGAGTGTGTGTGTGTTTGGGAGGGAGGAGGCGGGCGGGGGAGGGG